GAGGGAGGGAAGAAAAAATGTGCTCAAGGTCTCAAGTAGAAAGAAAATGTTTTGAAAATGATGGCAACAATATACAAATGTGTTTGACACATGGATGGATGTATGGATTGTGATAAGAGTTGTACGAGCCCCCAATAAAATGATTTTAAAAGAAAAAGAAAAAAAAAAAGTTAATAGCAGTACCACTTGAGTCAAAATAGATTTTAACAGACTTGATTTCCTCTTTGACTCACAGACATTTTTGTTGAGCATAATTGAAATGATCAGAGTGTTTGGAAGATGTTATAGTTAATTCAGAAACATCTGTGTTTGGGTCATCAACTTAGCTCTATGAAATTCAGATTCCAGTTCTAACTTCTGTAAAATGTGAGATGCTTGGTTTTCCCAGTCTCAAAAGTTAAGTGGCTTACGGGGGATTCCTTTCTCTTTGAAGGTTATCAGGAGGTTGAGAGAGAGAGGAGAGCCAATCAGAGTATTTGGAGAAACGGATTATGATGCTTTTCAGCGCCTGCGGAAGATAGAGATCCTCACCCCAGAAGTGAACAAGGTAAGAAGTCAGATCAAGCCACAGGAAAGACACCACACAAACCACAGTGCCGCGTCAGCTGGCAGAAATAAGGACTTGCATGCATTGCAGTGTGATAGGCAGAAATGGGGTAGGGCGAGCTGCCAGACTCCTGCTGCTACATTTTACTTTAGTCTTTTGAAGAAAGCAGTTTTGGCTTCTGTATCCTTATTAATTTGTTATCTACCTGTTCTATCAAATGCTGTGAGATGGGTGTGGTTCTTTATGTCTGTATTAATTTCCGTAAAACACAGTAGTTTAAAGCAATTTCTTATTATAAAATCTGCTTCAGCTTTTTTGACTGTATATTAAATCACCCTGAAACTGAATGGCTTCAGGTAATAAATTATTATCTCTCACTGCTAAGCTGGACACTTTTTGCTCAGCATATTCTTGTGATTGCATTTGGATTCAGTTCTGCGGCTGACGTCACCTGAGGCTTCCCTGGGCTGACCTGTTAAACTCGGGTCTTTATTTATATGTCTGATGCCCTAGTCGGTGAGGCTGCAGTAGCTGGGGACTGGCGGGGCATCTCTTTCTCTCTCTATGTCTTCCCTATTGATCATCCTACTTATCCTCCCTGAATGGAAGTGTCCAGGTAGTTGGACTGTGTACGTGGTGCCTGCCTTCCCCTGAATGTGAGTATTCCAAAAGACCAAAATAGGAACCACAGGACTTTTTTATGAGCTGTCTTCAGAAGTTATGCATTGTCATTTCTGCCACATTTTAAAAAGTACACAGAACTAGCCTAATTCCATGTGGGACACCTGTAGCTTTGATTGTTTGCCCAACTGCTGTGCATATCCTGTTTCTTAGCATATGTCTTAATCATACTCTCCTATTTTCATTCCTCTGAGCCTTGTTCATTCTCCTTGAGCCACTTCATTTATGACCATTATGCGTTGAATCAAGAAAGATAGAAAAGTTTGTTTCTTTTTCTTCTCTTTCCTCCCGCTTTGTTTGATGCTATTCCTCTCATACCCTTATCATTTACTTCTCTGCTGCCACTGCTTCAAATTAGAATCGTCTGCTGTCCTCGTCTTTTCAGATGCTTCACAAAGCCAAACCCCATGCTGTCAAGTCTGTTCTGGCTCATAGCGATCCCATCGGACAGAATCAAGGCTGTTGTCTGCAGAAACCCACTGCCAGGTCTTTCTCCTGAGCAGCAAAGGTGTGGGCACAAGCTGCTGGCCTTTCTATTAGGTCACCGCACTACCAGGCTCCTCTCTTAGATCCTAACCAGGGCACATCCCGACCTGTTTGTCTTCTACGCTGCCGCCAGTTGAATTTTCTTAAAGCATATCATGATTCTATCACTCCTCTGTTCAGAACTTCCAGCGTCTTCCCCTTTCTCCACATGGCTTATGGAATCTTTCATCATTTGCTACCAGCTCCCCTGTCAGGCTGCACTTTTTAGTGTTGCCATTCCAGCGCACAACACAAACACTTGCCTGCACAGTTTTCGTCTTCTGTGAAATGAAACTTCAACCTGCCGTGACTTGACTCTTGTATGCCTCACTTGAAACGGGTACTGAGACTTTTGGACATAACTCAAAGTATTACATCTATGCGAACATTTCCTTGGTTCCAGTCACCGTCGATTGCTTCCTTCTCCACCTTCCTCTAATAGATTTCTTTTGGTGCACTTGCCGTGCTTTACTAGGGTTGAGTTATCTACATTATTTATCTCTCCCTTGTGGGCACGGACTGTGTTATTTTTCTGTGCCTAGTGTAGCAGCAGTACAATTTGAGGAAAGAGCAAAGGACATCAAAGGTCTAGATTGCATTCCTGGTATAGTGAGTTATTAACTGTGCAGACTTTGGCAAAGCGTCGAATCTCTCTGAGCCTCACATCCTCACATAGAAGAGGACATGGTGGTACTGGCTCCCTGGGGTACTGTGAGAACGAAGGAGCGAGCACGGGGAGGCCGAGCTGTCGACTCGATGCACTCACACAGAGCAGGGCCTCCAAGGTGCGGTTCAGTCTTTTGAGTTGAATGCTTCTCTCTCGTGTTTGTGGAAGGACAGTAGACTGGAATCTGGTATCGTTAATGTAATAGCAAGAAGAGCTAACATTTCCCGAATGCTTATTTTGTAGGTATGACTGTTCAAAATGTACTGTTCATGTATTAACTCATTTAAGAGTTAATCTTTGTAAAGCTCTTGGAATAGTCATAGCACACTTCGTTTTAGATGAAATAAGATATGGCATCCTCATGAAAAGCCTACCTATTAGAACTATTAATTTTTATTTCATGGATCAGGGAATGACAACATAATTGCTCAAGAACCAGTGGTAGCAAGGATGTCAATCCCCATAATCCCAACAGCACCAAGCACTGCCCTACCTATAATCTTGTGATTGTAGTTTCTTGGCCGTTATGATCTATTGACCAGTTCTCATTCATGCTTAGGAAACAGGCTTTCATTTTTTATCCAAAGGTCATGAACTAGATTTACATGGAATATGAATTTGCCAGCTTGTTGTAAACATGGCTGAGAGTCTATGTATAGCTGCGATACCATTTTTATTTCACTACTGTTTGATTGTTTGGGGTCCTCATAATAGTTGAGGAAGCGATTAGCGATTAGACATTTAAGAGAGCTGAGGAAATGGGTTGGGGACTATAAAGGACACCTGGTTGCTTTCACTGGGCTTCATCAAAGTTGCAGCATTTATAAAGGTTCTTTCATGGATTTGTCACTACTGTCTGTTTCACTGACCATCAGATTAGCCATTCATGTTTATCTTTTTCAGTTTAAATATGTTCTTAACAATTATGTTTGATTGGGCTGTGGTGATAGCTGTATAATAAGTGGAAATCTTATTTGAGTCACCAGTTTTGCTAAGCTCTTGACTCCTTGTGGGGAAAAAGTGAATTGGCCTTATCGAGAAACCAAATGAAAAGCATTATTGAAGTTTCACACTGGACACTTAACTTTTTCATCATCTGTAGGGATTGAGAAATGATCTGAAAGCAGCTTTGGATAAGATTGATCAGCAGTACCTCAATGAAATTGTGGGTGGTCAAGAAGCTGGGGAAGAAGACACACAGAATGATTTGAAAGTGCACGAAGAAAACACCACCATTGAGGAGTTAGAGGTGACTCTCTCCCCGCCTGACTCCACTCATCCCGTTTGTTCTCTGGGACTGGGGCTCATTTGTCAGTCCATGTAGCTTCGGAGGACCCGTCACCCTTGGCCCATGGAAAGCACCCTTCTTTTGTTTCATGCTTTTATTTAGTTAGCTTCTTTTTTGGCATGCTCACACGCTCTCTACTTCTTGCCTTCATAGTCCATCATTCTGATGGGCTGGATCTGCACTATTTTATAACTTTTTGGTTTTCTTATAAAACCTGTAGCATTTTGTATTATACATGTGTTTTTGACTTACACAAGTGTGGTGTGTTTTTTTTTTAACTTTTCATTTTTCTTTTAGCTCTATGATTTTAAGACCCATCCTGAATGCTGACCACCATGTAATCCATTTGTGTTGACTGCCTCTTTGTGGTTTTCTGTATGCTGTGGGTTTTATAGCCCATGACGAACAGTGATGAGCCTCCCAGTCCCTGCTACCACAGACAACCTGATAACGAGCAATCGTGCATAGCCTCCAGTCTTGACCGAAAAGTAGACTTGCTAAATTTATGTGTGTTTCATTTGGCTGAATACTGCCCGACTCCTTTCCTAAATGTCTGTCCCAGCCCTTGTCAGGGTGTGAGGGGCTTGTATTTCTACAATCCCACCAACACTTGGCAGTAGTTTGTTTTATATTTTTTGTCAGTGTGATGATTGTAGAGTATTGTAGGTAATCTTTAAAATTACAGTGCAGTGTCTTACCATGCAAGTATACAACGAGAAAAAAGCATTGCTTAGTTTAAAGCTCTTAGCGCTTCATCAGGTGCACGCTGCTCCTTTTCTGTTGCCCTCACCTCCTGGCTCTGACACGGCTGCACTGTCTCGGGGTGCAGCCACAGGACAGGAGGGTGCCAGTGGAACCCCCCTCCATCAGGGACCCCCTGTTGGACTGAAGTAAGTGGTGCTGTGGGGTTTTCCATGTTTAAATAGCTTTACTGATGTACTCATATACCAGACAGGTCATTTGAGGTGGATAATACCATTGTTTTTTAGTATTTCTCCTTGGTACCATTATCACCATCTAATTTTAGAGTAATTTTGTTCTCCAAAAGACTGTCCTAGTATTAGCAGTCACTGCTCATCTTCCCTCTTTGATTCAGGTACATTGACAGGGAAATTGGCTCCACATGTGTTTTTGTACTTATCTAGAAATTCCATTAAGTTTTTAAATAAAAATTAAATGGCACAATGTAACAAAGAGCCATTTTCCAACTAGTGTTGATAGCACAGCTATCTAGTTGTTTACTGTTGAACAAAAACATTCTTTCTCTCTAGGCCTTGGGAGAATCTTTAGGCAAAGGCGATGATCATAAAGACATGGACATCATTACCAAATTCCTCAAGGTAGGTTTCCTCGGGCTAAGGAAGGGAGGACATTTTCCTTAGGAAAGTACTGTTCTTAAAGTTTTTGATGATCGAGGGTAAAGGAAATCTCTTAGTAAGCCTATTTTTAACTCTTTACCATGCTGATGTTATTGTTATACAACTTGGCTGTAGAGCTAATCAAAGGAAGTAATATCTGTCTTACTTAGCACTTCTCGTTAAAGCTGTCTTATTAACGTAGCAAGACAGCAACGAAGGGACAGCAGAATGAGCTGAAAGTTTGAGGAGTGCCGTGTGATTTGGAGCCGCTCCAGGAAGGTGCGGAGTGAGAGGAAGGTTCCAGAGCTTTTATAAGAGGATGATGGCAGGGAGGAGGGGAGGACACTGGCTGGAAGAAGAGAAACAGCAGTAACCTCTCAGACGCTGTTCCTCTCCGTAGGTCCACGGATAGCTGCCTAGTCTTGCTGTGATTAGCACTTTCCGTCCGGTTTTGGAACGTCCCTCTGTAGTGGGCTAGACTGAGTGTGGACAAATTAATTCAGCATTTAACCACCAGTTTCTATTACATTCTACCCAAGAGATTCAAAGACTAGTGGCGGAAGAAATTTCTTAACTGATTAAAGTACCGCCAAATAGCTGTTACTTAGTTTGATACTTGTTTTCACAACTCAGACATATCAGCCACCAAGTTCTGAATTAAAAGAAAACATTCTGAATGTATGGAGATATGGGGATCGGGAGCTAATAGGAATGTCCCCGTTGCGTGATTCTCATTGCTGTCACGTTGGTTCCCACTCATAGTGGACCTCTGTGAGTTTCTGAGACTATTACTCTTGATGGGAGGAGATAGCCTCACCTTTCTCCCAAGGGATGGCTGGTGGTTTCAAACTGCTGACCTTGTGGTTAGCAGCCCAATACGTAACCCACTGCACTGCCCTTTCCTTATATTGGATGTTTATGTCCTCTGGAGGAGGCTGTCTCCCTCCGCCTTCGCTGTTTGTTTATCCCTAGAAAGGGGCCACTGATTCCGCTAACCCTGGGCCACTGAGGGCAGAGTCCTTGGGGGTGAAGTACGGGAGAAGAGATGGACTATCACTTCTTTCTGTTTCCTTTGCTTTTTTAGTATAGGACTATAATGACAATTTTTTGTTAAATTGTACTTTCTGAAAGTCCAAACTCCCACATTCCTGAGAGACTATTATTAAATATCACAGTACACATGGTATTATAGATAATCAATCTGGGTTGGTTGAATTTTGTATAATGCAAATGGAAGCAAATGTGTATTTCTAGAAATCACCTATGACATTTGATAGCTGTATTTAAAGGAAAATGAATTACTGTATCCTGAGCTAGGAGTGTATGTGGAATAGGAAGGTTCCCAGTAAAAGTTGTGGCTTGCTAAAGACAAGGCTTCTAAATATAAGGAGAAAATAAATAGAAATAATTCCTTAACTCTAAGTATCATTTGATCATAGCACCCATTATACTGATCAATATTCCTAGGTTCCAAAGACCAGGTCATCATGCGAGCGTTGGCATTATGCCAGGGATTAGGGGATGAAGCTGTGGCTGCAGAAGCTAGACCCTAATAACTGCTTGTGTCCCCTGTACCTCTGTGCTCTGGACTCAAGGTCCGCATGTCAGGGCTGGCACCTGAGTGACCTGGGGCCCAGTAACTAGACTAGAGGAACAGTTGATGGTTCTACAACTCAAGCAACCTGTTAATGGGATTTGCATCCCCTGCCAGTGTCCACCCCACACCCCTCATCCAGGGAGAACCCCACGGAAATGAGTAGTGCACTGCTGGCCTCGGAGGGCTCGGGATCCCCTGGCCAAGGGGTTGACAGCTGCTGGGGTAGCTTCCGCTCCAGCTCCCCGCACCCTTCTCACTGGGCTTTTGTCCCTTCAGTGTACTTGAGTAGAGTGGAGCAGCACCAACTCGCTCTACCCCCAACCGCACCCCTGGGGCCTCCCTCTCAAAAGGGCTCCCTCAAAATCCCCTTTAGCCAGCTGTTTGGCAGGAAGAGCTGCATGGGGGTCTCCCGCAGTGGGCATTGGAGCTGCCGGAGGCCTTCTGGAGGGCTGGCTGCTGGGCTGGGAGCTACATGTGCGCAGGAAACTCTTATGTGCAAGATGATCGCATAGTAGATTTTTCACTCTTGTCATAAATGGGAAGTGTTGAATAATGAGTTGATAAGTGAGAAATCAACTCAGTCTAGAAATCAGCCTTATTTAAGGGTGATTGGAATCCGCTTTTTGTGTCTGAACTTTTAAATGCGGGGAACCACTGGGTGGCAATGTAGTTTCAATTTACCCATTCTTTCCACAGTTTCTCCTTGGCGTGTGGGCTAAAGAACTGAATGCCAGAGAAGACTACGTGAAACGCAGTGTGCAGGGGAAATTGAACAGTGCTACTCAAAAACAGACGGAGTCGTATCTCCGACCACTGTTCAGAAAGTTAAGGAAAAGGGTAAGGTTCCCCAAAGTGTGTTCAACTGCCCCTTTCTGTGTTGCTGTTAACAGGTGAGGTGGATTTAAAGGAAGTGCAAATCTGTCCCTCACTTGTACAGACAGTTTCCAAAATTAGTTATGCTTTTCCGTTGCTCTTTTCCAGAATCTTCCTGCTGACATTAAGGAATCGATAACAGATATTATTAAATTCATGCTGCAGAGAGAATATGTGAAGGTACGTTCTAATGCAGGCATTAAAATTATGGGTACAAGCATAGCTAGGCCATGCATATAATTTAAACGATCATTTGGGATGCGGGGATTTTATGTAGCCAATTTAAAAACAAATGTGAAATGAACTGGTAGTGTATTTTCTGTTGTATTGTCAGCTTTGCTTTTAGGGAATCAATAACAGACTCAGATCACAACTATATGGTTTTGCCATTTTTAAGGTAAATCTAAAGGTTCCTTAGAGCATGAACTCTTTAGGCAGTGTTCCTTTTATGAATGGGGTTGAATTTCGAAAGTTTGTAAATGGTTTATTATGGCTTGGAACAGTTTTCCCATAGAAACAATGTTAGATAGATTAGTAGTTTCCCAGGCCAGTTATAAAGCCCATTTAATCCATAATATAGTTGAGCTATTGTACTGATGATACAATGAAATTTAACCACGCTTTATAATTACTTTAGTGGGAAAAGTTCCAAGTAAGGCTGCCAGAATTCATCTTTCCCATTTCCGTACTGAAATCATAGCACACCACTTAGAAAGTAAGCCTTCCTCCTCCTTCAGTGTCTTTACTCTTGACTCCGGGAGGAGGTGGCAGAGAGAAAGGGCCCGGATCCCGTGGCCTCTTGGGACAGAGTGGAGAAAGGGGAGATGGGAGAGCGGCCAGTTGATAGAGGGACCCAGAAGCACCTCTGCCAGCAGTGGAGACTTGACAGGAAGCTCCCGCCACGGGCTGGCAGTAGAATCTGAGGAGTGAGGTGGTGCGGAACCCACCCCCACTCCTTAGGGGAAGAGAGCGCCTTCTGCTCTCGGTAACAACTTACAGTCAGAAACCCAGCGGGGCAGCTCTGCCCTCAGGGGTCTCTCTGAGGCAGACTGGTGAGCTAGAGAAAATCCACTGTCCACTCCTGTCCTGTCCTCCCATGCAGTGCTGTAATGGAGCCTGTGGTAGCTGGTGTGTGGCTCTTCCCCTTTTCCCTGGCCCCCTGCTTCACCGAGCACGATGTGCTATCCCCAGGACTTGCCCCTCCTGATGACATGGCCAAAGTATGTGAGATGCAGTCCTGCCCATCCCCACCTCTAAGGAGATTCTGGCTGTACTTCTCCAAGACAGATTTGCTTGCTGCTCTGGCAGACCACAGAACCTTGAGTAGTCTTCGCCAGCAGCATAATTCAGACGCATCACTTTTCTCTCCGTGTTCGTTACTCACTGTCCAGCTTTCCGCCTGGTGTACGAGGCAGGTGAATAGGTTGTGGCCTGGGTTAGATGAAGCTTAGTGCTCACAGTGACCCCTTGCCCTTCCGCACTTACAGACGTCTGGGGCAGCAGATTGGCCCAAGGCAGTACGTTGTTTGAGCCTGGCTGCTCCTTGCATGAGTGTTGATTGTGGACCCAAGTCAAATGAAATCCTTGTCAGTTTCGTCGTTTTCTTCATCATCATGCTCTGTTGGGTGAGTTATGAGGCGTTTTGTGTTCTTTCTGTTGAGCTGTAGTCCATAGTGAAGGCTGTACTCGATGTCCATCAGTGAGCGAATCGTGCCTCTACTTGCAAGCAAGCACGTTTCTGTCATCTGCACGTGATAGGTTCTTTTTTAAGCTTTTATTAACTTTTATTTTAAACTTACTTTACTCCCTAGCCATGCGTTTTTGCTTCTTCAGTTTCTCCTGGGAGATCTGTTTCTTCTGTGCAACCTCCTCTTCTTGGTTAGGAACACTGTGTTCCTTTCCGTCGGGGTCATCTCAGTGTGGCAGGGGGAGCTCAGGGATGGGGTGAGCCGACCATCAGTCCTGCGGCGCATCTTGGGGCTTGGTTCGCCTGGATGTGCTCAATGACCAGAGAATCCACATCGACCCCTTCAGTTCAGCGTTCCTCTCTGTGTTTTTAAGCGCTGTTTTGGGGCCACCGGCCCTGGGTCCAACCCCACTGTTTGACCGGGGGAACACTTACTGACTCCATCATTGTAATGCCAGAAGGGCACACACTGCTTCTGCAAAGTGACCTCTTTCAAATATCCGGTGGCTTTCCGGATATGCAGACCCTTGATGGCCTGGGCAGTTTCACAGGTGTTCTTAAAATGGACCTGGAGATTCGACCCTCTGGATTTGCAGGATTTTGTGGGGTTTCTGGGTCTAGTGAGTAGCGAGCCATTTTGGCAGATCTCCTGCGGCTGCTAGGGGAAGAGGTGTGCATGTGATAGGTTCCTAATGAACCTTCCTTTGATCCAGATGCCACATTCTTCATCTCATCCAGATTCTCAAGTTACTTGTTCAGCATTGAGACTGAGTAAGTGTGGTAAAAGTGTACAACCCCGACTTAGGTCTTTTCTCACTTTAAACCGTGTAGCGCCCCCTTGTTCGGTGCAAATGGTTTATGCACAGGTTTTTGGTTTATGCACAGGTTCCACGTGTGCATGATTAGTGTTCTGGAATTCCCGTTCTCCATATTATCTATCATTTGCTGGGATCTGCACAGTTGAATGCCTTTTCATAATCAACTAAACACAAGTAAACAGCTTCCTCTTTACCAGAGCCTTCTAACATTAGTAATGATGCCCCGTGTTCTATACCCTCTTCTGAATTTGAGTTGACTTTCCGGTAATTCACTGCCAACACTACTGTAACTGTGTTTGAATCATCGTTAGCAAAATTATGCTTTCAGGTGATATTAATGATATTATTTAATAACTTCTAGAGTCTATCGACTCACTTTCTTTGGAATGGGCACAGATGGAGATCTCTTCCAGGCAGTTGGCCAAGTCGCTGCCTTCCGAATGTCTTGACATAGACTGGTGGGTGCTTTCACACGCATCAGTTTGCTGAAATAGCTCTATTTTTATTCCCTCCTTCCTGTTTGGGGCCAGTGTCTTTGGTGCTGCCTGGACTTTTTTCAGTGGTTGAATGTTACCCCATTATTTTTGGTACATTGGAGCTGTGTTTTTCTTCCACTTTCTTTTGATACTTCTTGCCTCACCCACTATTTTGCCCTTGGGATTCTTCATATTTCAACTTGAGCAATGGCTTTTTTCCCTCGGTTCTTTCAGCTTGAGAAATGCCACACATGCTCATATTTTTGGGCTTTCAGACTAGATATTTGTGTTACAGCAACATGCAAGCCACCACTATATGACAGACCAATACTTTATGGTGGCCCAAGAGAGTGGGAATTGAGAATTTCAGGGCCACGGTTAAAATAACAATTCCAGAGTAGGATTGGGGACCATAACAGAAAAGTGGGAGGCATGTTTATAGTCCTAGAACATGCTTCCTGGTTGGTGATCAAATGATTTACTTGTGTAAGAGTCTCACATTATTGAGGCTAAGCTAGTGATTTTACTCCCTGTGAGAGCCAGTGAGATTTTTTTTTTTTAGAGAAAGTATTTTTGTTTCGTTTTAGATAGTTTCTATCAACTGCATAATCTCTTTAGATAGTTTCTATCGACTGCATAATCTTAATGGATGGAGAAGGTTGCTGTCACTGGGAAGAATGAACTCACTCTCCTGCCTAAAATGGATGGATGCCCTTGTTACTTTCCCTCCTCATTCTCAGGGACGAGAATAAGGTGAAAGTTTATTTTGTATAAACTGCAGTAAAGCCCAAGAAACTTTCATAACCCATTTTATGGAAATTTTGAAAAACTAAATATTGGGATTTCTTTCAGTTAATGCCTAATGTTAAATTTTACATTTGAGAAACAGTGATGAAACTATCCATAAGCACTTTTAAAATTAAGCTTTACAAAACCTGTTGAACCGAGCAAGTTCAAAATCATCTTTAGGATAGGAAATTATCTTCTAGTTAGCCTGTGTACAGTATGTGTATTTTTATTTCAACTAACTATATTACATAGGTGTTTAAGTTTGGAAGTTTAAAATTCTTTTGAGGCCTGGCTATCTGAGTATAAATTTTAAAGACTATGAATTCAGCCCTCAAGGTCTTCAAAACAGTTAACCTGCTTTATGTTTGTTCTGTTCCGCGTTGTTTTCTTTTTTGTTCTTTGGGCTCTTTATGTTTGTTTTGCTGCGTGATGTTTGTTTTGCGCCGAGTCGTTTGTTTTCTGTATGTTTGTTTTGAACCGTGTTGTTTGTTTACCTGTCCTCTGCCTCACTGTTCACCAAGCTTGCTTTTTAGAAAGAGCCATTTGTCTTCATTGGACTCCATCTTCATTCCTGGTATCTTTTATTTTAAGGTTACTGGCAGGTGGGGAGGTTTGGAGGGGCCAAAGGGAAGTGATCTCATTCTTTAGGTATTTGACTGGGGGCCAGCATTCAATCTCTGTTTACACATCTGTTAGGTGATATTCCCAGCACACAGAGCCTCCACTGCCCTGAGAGTCTGCGCTGCTGTGCAGGGCGTGGATTCAATTTCAGGTTGAATTATGAAACGAGCTAGCCTCTCTCTTGTATGTGACCACCTATGGAGAAGACTGGGTCTGAAGAGAGCCAAATTAGAGTTCCTAGCAATGCGTAAAATGACCTACCTGGTTATTCCATATCTGAATCATATTAATTTCTAATGCATAAAAGCCACAAAGGAATGTTTGTATTTTTACTCACAAACTGAACTGTGGTTTCTTATTTCCATTTGTGGTCCTGGGAAAGGCAGTCAGCCATCCCATAGTTTAGTTTCTTTTGTTTGAATCGAGAGCGTGGTAATGTTTTTAGCATGCCTAAGCGATGGCTGACAATTCAGTCATAGAGGGCTGTGTGTTAAAAAGTAAAGTATTTGAACTTACAGTAATTCCTTGGCTTTTATGATCTCTTCTCAAACTGTCTTTGTAGGCTAACGATGCATATCTGCAGATGGCCATTGGAAACGCCCCTTGGCCGATTGGTGTCACTATGGTTGGTATTCATGCCAGAACCGGGAGGGAAAAGATCTTCTCCAAGCACGTTGCACATGTGTTAAATGATGAAACGCAGCGGAAATATATTCAGGTAAGCAGTTCAAAGGGAAAAAATGTTGGGCCTGGGGGTTAATTTCCTGTGAAATTCTCAAAACTATAAGATTTGAGAGCAGAAAAATAATTATAGTAAATGTGATAAGGTGGGATGAAAGTGTGTTTTTCACAAGTATAGCACATAGGTTTAAGATACTTTAGTCAGACTTAATTAAAACGCTCTACGGTTGATAGGTGAGGTAAGCCAGGATGCAGCGTTGTGTTTTGATTACCTTAGCATCGCAGTAAACCCATCACAGCTTTTTCATTTTTCAAGATACATAGATTTACAAGTAAAACGAGTTCAGAGGGATTTTCAGAGTCAAGTAAAGATGGGCAAATTTAGAGTATTAAATCCTGTTCTTTATTTGCAAGGTAGATATAACATGTACTAAACTAAAAAGAAGGGGCCCTGGTGGTGTCGTGGTGTGCGAGTTGAGTGGCTGACCACAAGGTCAGTGGTTTGGCACTGCCAACCGCTCCCGTGGGCAAACATGAAGCGTACTGCCCTGGTAAAGAGACACAGCCTAAGAAGGCCCCCGAGGCCCTATCCCATTGCTGTGAGTAGAAATCTCTAGGGATTCTACAAAGGGTGGTTATTATTTATTTTGTTTTTAATGAATATAGTCAGTTTTAAGTAGCATCTGATAGACATTCCTGGTAAATGAATGGGCCTTGGGTGTTTTTATTTTCTTAAAATTGTACATGCCCCACATAAGCTTACTTGCATTCTTGTTGGATTCGACTTTATCGTCTTATGGGAAAATAACCCAGTAAATCTAGGTTTTCCCCAGTGATGCTAAGTCCCAGGTTGTTTTGGTCTGATGACTTTCGCTGGATGTTTCCTGTTAAAGATGAGACTCTGGAAGCTCACTTAAAATTTAGAGTTCACCTAAAATGCACAACATGCTTCCAGACTTTTTGCCAGAGAACAATCATTTCTATATTCATGAATTGTCTTTTGTTTGTATTTCAGCTCTGAGTTGAATATGAGTTGGTTTGTCAGACTTTATGCTTTAATCACAGATATTAGCATTTTAAAATATGATTTCAACCTGACTCTTCCACATCAATTGTAGGCTTTATAGAATTTAAATATACTTGTGGCAATTCAAGCACATTTTCATTTCTTCATAAGCATCAATTATTATATCAAAGGCAAATAACTTTCAGTTGCGGGGTGGGGTGGGGGCCAGTTGCTTGGCTTAAAACAATAGAAAGCTCACAAGTTTCCAGTGACTAATTTTGCTAATTGTATTCAACTCTGCCATTTCAAAAAGTGTCATACGTATAAGAATTCATATAATTAGATTAATTGCCTAAAGGCAGCATTCCTCTTTGTAAGCAGTGGTATCTTTCCTACCACCTCATTGAGTGGTTTTCTTATAAAAAGAAAGAAAAAACAACAACCCCTTCCGGGGGTTTGGGGAAAGGGGGGAAAGAACCGGCCCCCCCCCCTTGGTCCTCCTTTGAAACGGTTCCTTTCCTCCAGGGGGAGATGCTTACCACTTGATGGGTGTTGTGAAGCATTTGGCTAGCCCTGTGCCATTTTAGGTTCTCCTAGCCCCTCGATTTCTGTGATGACTCTCCATGTCCCGGGACGCCCTTGCTTAAGCCCAACCCCTCCCAAACTGGGTGACTTCAACAGCCAGTCAGGCCGTCAGTGATATTGGACAGGCTGGCCCCCTGTCTTTTGCTTTCTTGCTTTTCTGTGAACACGGATTAGAGCAGTATTTCATTTTCCTCTGAATTCTGCCAAATACAGCTATTCCTTTGGCCCAGATTTTGATAAGTGTGGTTACACAGACTATAGGAAGCTCCTGAATAGACTCTGAGGTTCACACCTGGAGACCCTTTATGGCAGGGTGCTCTCACTTTGTCCACACGATCAAGTCAAAACGCTCTGCCAATTACAAAAATGCGAAACACATATTTATTTATGTATTACATTTATTCATAAATGCACTGAGAGTTCTTTATATGTACAATGTATGTTTATGTACCTTGCATAACTACATGAGTCCATGTTGCACAACACAGTAACTGTACATTTTCTGTCATTACCTGAGTTTACTCTGATGACTTGCACTGAATGGAATGAGCCAGGGGTGCATAGTCCGGACAGGAGCTGCTGACAGCCAGCCTCAAGCACACTTCCAAATGATCATCAGTCATGTGGAACGGGACTTGGACTTCATGATCTCTATGTGGGAAAAGGCTGACTCACATAAATAAGTAGAGCCAAATCATGCAGTCAAGGAGGTAGCACATTTTCTCATGTGTGGGTACTTTCCCTCTGCAGTAAGTTCCAGAACTGTTCATGCGCTCTGGACTTCAGCTGAAGGTCGGCTTGTAGTGTCAAAATCTCCCATTCCGTATGAAAGTGATATGTTTTTGTCTTCTTACTTGGTCCAGCTCCCCCACTTATTTCAATACCCCTTCTTAGTTTAAGAGAAAAAAAACAAGGTCTAAACATTGGCGATAACTTAGCTTGTCATTTTTGCTGCACTCAGCGCAGTTGTGTGCGCATGCGTTTGACTGCTAAGGTTGCATCTCATTGGCTGCGCTGTATATCAGTTAAGTGACGGGATTGATGATAGGCTTACGTCTATTTTTTTAATGCCATGCGATCACGCACACTACGTTTGCGATCGACTAGTAGATCACGATTGACGTATTGAGCACCCCTGCTTTATGGGTTAGGAAAGAAAAGAAGGAAGGGAAACCAGAGAGGAAGCTGAGATCCCATCTGCAGACTGTTTGCCCGCTTCTCGCTGCTCATCCTCACCTGACTTTTCTGAAGAGCTTCCACAGCGCCTTGTCCATTGGCTCCCGTGAGCTGTGCTATAGGAGAAAGGTGGGGCTGTCCGCTTGCACAGATTGACAATCGCAGAAGCCTCCTGCAGGGTCGCTAGAGGCAGAATTGTCTCAGGCCAGCAGTGGAGTTAGGTTTCTCTCCATACAGAAGAGTCACTGAGTTAGCAGCACCCCTCTAACAAGGCCTAATTCCTGCAGAACTCTCCGTGCAAAACCCTCGTTGAGTTTCAGTAACTGCTCTGCTCTCTTGCCCCATCAGAACTCGAGCTGGTCACTCTTTCCCAATATTGTAGTTAGGGGTACTACTGGACTAGCTCTTGATGGTCCTACACCTGGCTGACCCCCTTGCGCAGCTCTTGGGCCCACACTACCATCCAGTTTTCCAAAGTGAATTAGTGGCCTATGCTGCCTGCTGATGTCTTGCTTGATAGACAAGAATTCCATTATCTTTTCATTCCACTTTCCTTGGAACTTTTTGAACCCCCTCATATATAGATTAATTGATCTGTATACTATACATTTGTGTGGGAAGGGGGTTAAAAGATTGAAGTATAACATTCATTCCAAATAATTTTCTTCAGCTTTCTCCATCATAAAAAGCAAACTATCCTATAATATCCTTCTTTGGCAAGTTATTTTCAGTAACTTTAAATTTGTACATACCCTCATAAACATCGTTCAAGAATTTAGTCATTTATTGCAAGCCATAGTTCAGATTTTGGCATAAATATTCTATAAGTGCTTTTAAAAATCATTTGCTCATGGAATAATTTGTATATTTGTAATATTGCCCAAACATTTTAAAAAGCCTACCATAGCATTCATTACTGTAAACCAATGACAACACTGTGAATGGACACCCAGTGTTTGGGAGAGTCGATAAATCTCCCTGTGCATCATTCACTAAATACGTGTCCTACGTTTGTGGGCCAAGTGCTGTCATGCCACATCCTGCCATTTTTGGCTCATGACAAGCCATTTCTGAAAGGTGAGTTGTTATATAATGACAGCTCTCAACCCAGTTAAAAGTTTTCCAGCATATTAAAACAAAATTTTAGAAACACTCTTCCTAGAATGTAGCGTACCTTTCACCTCCCATCTGCCCTATCCTGGGACTCCGGTGGGGTGCTGCCGAAGCCGCCATGCTTGCTTTTAGTTGGCCGCTAGCAGATAAGGAGCAGGTGGGGTGCGTTTTACTTCTGGGTGTTAAGTCTTATTTTCACAATCGCATGCTTGGAAAAAAGTTAGATTACCCTGCACGATGGAATCCTAGTAGTCAAGTACATAAATTTGTATGATGTATTTGAGTGATTAATTTCCTCTGAAAATTAATCACTTGATATAAATAATCATCTAATTTAGCTAAGTGCTATTTTCTTTACTTTCTTAAAAAGCATTTTATTGGGGGCTCGTACAGCTCTTACCACAATCCATCCACTATGTCAAGCACATTTATACATTTGTTGCCATCATCATTTTCTTTTCTTTTTTTTCTGCTTTAACTTTTATTTTTTTATTATTTTAAGCTTAATTTATTCCCGAGCCATGAGTTTTTGCTTCTTCAGTTTCTTCTGGGAAATCTTTTTCTTCTGTGCAACCTCCTCTTCTGGCTTGGAAACGATGTGTTCCTTCTCTGTCAGGATCATGTCACTGTGGCAGGGGGAGCTCGTGTGGGTTGATCCGACCATGAGCTCTGTGAGTCTGGCGGCGCCTCTTGGGGGCTTTGTTCACCTGGATGTGCTCAATGACCAGAGAATCCACATCTAA